GAAGACCGTGTTCATGTAGTCGCGGAATGTCCGTTGTACAAGGAGAGGGAAGTGTACGTGACTGAGCTGGGAGAAATAGATAGGACGTACAGGGAGATGTGTGAGGCATGGAATAGAGAGGAAAGGACGGTAGCTGTACTGGGGCATAGGAGGTGGGTTGAAAAGGCGGGAAGGGATATCGTTAGGATAGACAGACTAGGGAAGACATGTTTGAGCCACCTTTGGCAAAGTAGAAAGGAACGATTGGCCATCGGTGATCGGTCCTGTGGGAACAATGCTCCGTCCTCTCGAGGACGCGTGGTCAATGGTCTAACCGCTGAGGCACGCAAAACATAAGAGTATGAGTAAGAGTAGGCCTTTATCTACGTATGGATAGAAAGACGGATCGTGTTCTATGAAGCAACAAAAAAACAAGTGGGTTGCACGCAGCGGGTGCACGTGTTTACCAAACCGGAACGATATTTTAGATGTAATGGTGGTAAACGATACAAATGGCAACAACAAATCAAACGGTTTGGGTCGTCCTTTCTCGCACACCTTGCAGCGATTGAGGGGAGTGTCGTCGTCCAGAAGAAGGCAAGCGAAATGCCCCTCGACGTTGATGTACACCGGGTCTGCGACATCCACCTCCCTCTCCGCCTGCTGGCCCGCCTCAGGTGCCCCCCATGCCGGCGCTTTTTCGCCCTCGTCATGTCCTTGGTCAGCCGGCGTTGTTACTCCCCTCGGCTGGAGAAAAACACAGACCAGCCAGCAAGGAACCACAAAAAAAAAAAGACAGGACGAGTCAGGGTTAGGGCTAGAGAGACCAGGACGAATAGGGGAGGGCATGCGGTATCAGGTGTGCGAGGTCCTCGCGCGCTTATGCGTGGAGCATGTGACTGTGCCGGAAAACGAACTCAGGCAGCCAAAATGGCTCGACAGAAACCGTTGCACCCTGATGCTTACAGTATCGCACGAACACCTAAATAATAGCCCTCTCGAGTTTTGATCTCCTCTTCCGTCCAACTACCGTGTTCTCGTCTCGCCCGCCACAGCTGGTGCCACAGCTGGTGCCCGACTTGCCTGTCTGCAACCACCGGCTCTTCTGTTTGCAAGCTCACATGCATACCAGCATGATGCTACCATCTCCCGCCACCACTATCACGCTGGAAGGATGATATTATTGTGCATCTGCATATGAACAGCAATCTTGAAGTAGAGGGGGGGTTCCGTATCCCTATCCCTATCCCTATCCCCCCTACTACTGGTGTGATAAAACCAAGCTGAATACCGTCGCGAAGGCTGTGCTGACCACCGTTCACCGCCACTACACTGCTGTACCTCGCACTCACCAAGCTCGCCAACCCCACCCCGTCTAACGCTCCGAGCACGTCGGCCGCTACCGGCGGGTCGAACCGGAACGCTAGCAGGATAATCCCGTAGCGCGCGCGGGATCGGTCGCACTCGAGCGGGAACACCGACGCACCCTCCCGGAGGCTCAGGCCGATCACGTCGTGGACCTGCCCACACCACATAGTATCCGATAAGAAAGAAAATCGGAGCCGCACCCGCAAAAACGCTTGGAGATGAGTTTTGCGATCTGAACGGGGAAAGCGAGTGTGTAATAGATCGCATCGACACGTATACAGTAGTAAAGTAAAAAGCAAGTAAAAATGCTCCACGTAAATTGTATTTGGACCCGGAGGCATGCGAACACAGAGGATGTGGAGTATATCCGGAGTTCATCGGGGTTGGAGTTCCCGTGAGGCACGCCATGAAAGAAAGAATTGTTGTTACTTTGAAGTAGCAGTTTAGATAAGTGCTCCGGCGTCGACAAGCGGGCAACAAGAGGTACAGTTGTATCGGGTAGAAAACGACTCCGTGGGGTCAGACCCTGCATCCTCTATCCCTACCTTCAGCCGCAGCATGAATGTTCAACGTCTCGAGAAACGTCTTCCCTCTCGAAAAATGCCGCCCTACAAAAACACTGCTGCATCATTTTCGTCAGCAGCTGCGAATAAAGTGGCCACTGCTGTACGTGCTGCCACGCTATAGTACTATTGCTGCATCAGACCTATGGACGCAACACCTTCTTGCCAAAACGATGGCGATTACAAACGCAACGTACAGCATTAGGGATCCCTGTATAATGTGCCCAGAGAATTCAGCGGCACTATACCGGACCGGCACTATTCAAGGTATTGAGAATGACGCGGAAATTCAGCGTGAGCCCGCCGGCAAACACAACCACTATACTGGGTTCCGCCGCTGGACAGGGGCCGTTACCGTATCTCACATGACTTATGCGTAACATACGACCACCAACAGATACAAAGGCCGCCTCTCCGAACGCCGGGCTCTTGTGCTCTCACCTCGAACTCAACCCTCGCCAACACCGGATTCTCCCCGATCTTGCGCGGCCGGCGCATCTCCAACCGCACTAATTCCGAGTATTCGATGTCCCTCAAAACCACAGCCTGGTCGATCAACGTGCACACACGTTGTTGATGTACACGTCATGCGGATCCAAAACGTCGAGGGAATTTCATCCGATCCAACGGTTAGCACGTTGGCACCACGACGATGCAGGAACTAGCACGGGCGGGGGGAGGGGATTGTTCGTCGTCAGATTGTGTGCGCTCGGTACAAAGGGCGGCTGTAGATATTGCGGGGGATGTGAGCACACAGAAAGGGGTCCTGTTGTCGTTTCTCGTGGTGACGGGGCACTGGTCTGATTCGAGGATGGAAGTGACGAAAACCCTTCCAAAAGGGGGAAAGAAGCAAAAAAAACAACAAAAAAACAAGAATTCATTGCAAAATAATCTAACTTAGGCTCTCTCCTTCGAAAGAGAGGGATTCGTTGTGGTCAAACTGATGGAAAAAAAAAAAATGTTATCTACCACCCCACCGATGACGATGCCATGAAGGAGCGACGCAAGCGAGTGAGGCAACCAATCGCCAACGCTTGACTTGCTGGTTTAAAACAGCCCCGGAACTGCTTAGCCAACGTCCACCTTCCGCCACGCGGCAGCCTCTTGCCGCACCTGGTGTGTGGCATCGGGTGAGAGCCCGGGGACGCGCAGCCAGGAATTGCTACAACAGCTACGGGGACTGCTGCAACGGCTACAGAGGCCGTCCAATCTGGGGTCGCAGCCAAAAGATTTGGAGGGCACGTGAACCATCAAATCTGGGACTACATGCACAGCAGGTACAGTACCTCGCACGGACGATCGGATCTGATCAGTCGAGAAACCAAACCAAACCAAAACTAATCTTTACCAACCATAGAGGTTCACGCCGTCGTCGGTTGAATCTAATTACTCCGGAGTAGACACAATATCGCACATATTGCCAATTCTGTATCGTGTGCACAGATCCCCACGCGCGCGCGAACATCTGTTGCTCCTCAACCGCCACCCCCTACCCCTTCTGGCCTGCCAACGGTGCCACGCAGGGTGACGACTAGAAGGCGAGGACCTTGCTTAGCTGGCATTTGAAGCCGACAATTCATCGCCGCGTGCCGTTGTCGATCAACGCAGGGAGATTCAGTCGAACATTGCTGCCCGCGCACCGGATACACCATATTCGTTAAGAGTGCACCTACTTCCAAGTACATACGCTGCGGTGTCAAGAGGCGAGAGAACCCAAAGAATTGGTCTGTGGGGGTGTGAGAGAGAAAGCCAGCTGCTGGGTTGGTTCGGTTTACATGCTAACCCAAAAAAAAAAAGTGTACTAGAGAATATCATGTGGAACGCTATCTTAACCCTGCCCTGAACGGCCCATCTTAGGGTGGCTTTCCAGACTCTAGCCATACTCAGACATTACACATAACTCAGCAAGTATTTTCCTGCTACAATTATTTACCTTCAACACGTGCGTCCGTTCCGTGCTGTGGCACTACGTAATTCGAACAGGTAGTCCTTCAAGTCGGTTCTCTCTCTAGAAAGCTGTGTACGCACCTGGTCCCAAACGGGGTTCGAAGTCTTCCCCGCCCTGCTGGTCTCGTGTCTTTCCCCCATCGGGTCGTTCGGAAGGCTCACCACAATCTTGGTGTCCCAAGGACCGCCCCCGCCGGTAGAGCCACTGCCCGAGCCGGATGGGCCGCCGTTTGATGAATTGTTGCTGATGCTGCTGTTCACCCCCAGATGTGCCTTGTATATGTAGATCGTGAGGGTGAACGTCTGTTTCGATATCATTCAGGGGGGGGGGAGGGTAGCAGTTGACAGTGGGCGGGCGTGGTGAGAAAATCCTACCGCATGTGTCTTGTCTCGTGCTTACGTACGTACACGCGGTGGAGACCCACCCGGCGGTCCCCTACTTACGCAGTAGCATGTAGGCCGCCTACAATTCTGTGTGGCGCGAAAACGTGTGTGAGGTCGAAATGCAAACCCGTGTTGAGTGCTGCCGGAGTTCTGACACACGGTTGCGATACAACGTTGACTTCCAAGTGCGGTGCTACTTAAAACGGGCAGCAGCTGCATCATCACCGGCACTTCTTTGAGCCCAAAAACTTGGGTTCTCAAACAGCAAATAAATTCTTGAAGTATCGTGATGGCTGAAAGTTATATGCACCCACGGGTACGTATATAAGACATGCACCCATGCTTTTTCTACAGACGGAAATTACATGACACGGTCTATAATCCCAACACAAACCCTAACCCTGACCCCGAACCCACCCAATAAGTGCTACGTTGACGTTGGGTGGCTCAGTTCTAGGTTGGTGTGCCTGCATTAGGGCTAGGTAAGCGCTGGGTGGCTCAGTTCTAGGTTGGGATTGCATGGATAGGTGCTAGATTGGTGTTTATGCGATCGACCTAGGTTGGTATAGCTTGGATGGGTGCTAGGCTGGTATCGACCTCAGTAGGTGCGAGGTTGTGCGGGCCTAGGTAGCTCTTGGTTGGGTGGTTCCGTCGGTAAAACAAGGTGTGGGTGCATGCCTTATATGCGTACCCGTGGGTGTATCGAATATTTTCCCTCGTCGTGTGGTAGGTCTATAGAGCATTACCACGCGTGATGTCCGTAGAAGTTTTACAGGTGCTGCTGCTGTTTGAGATTAAATAAGAAAGGGCCGGGTGCATACAGCCGCTGTATGGGTGGCAAATAACGCCCAAGACAACTTATGCCTACGTTGGGCGTACTCAACAAAACGGTCGAAAGTCGAATGCTACCATGAATAAATTCGACAAGTTCGTGAACCACACGAGACAGCAGCAGCAGCATTGGAGGTCATAGGACGGCCATTGGGCCGGAGGTTAACTATTGCCTTCTTCCCCTCGCTGCCTCGGCAAGGTTTTGCTCATAGGCATGACCCATAGCTAGGGTGTGCTCATAGTCGTGCATGCCGTAGTCGTTAGACCATTGACCTCGCATCCCTACAAAGCCGGGACGGAGCACGCCGGGTTCTCACCG